ACGTATGGGGTGCGAACGTGTATTGGGCGCGAACAGACCCGATACCTTTTAGATGTAAATAAGCAAGAGAGAACTTTCCATATCCAGAAATCAACGCCACTTTGCTTATTCAGTGAATATTATACTAAAGAAATCGGATACGGGTCACGGAAATTATATTGAAATGATAGGGAATTTTGAAAAAAAATGTGTGTTTTAACTTTAATTTAAGTGATACTGATAGACAGGTTGCGGGGACAGAAAATAAATATACACAACAATATACACCATTTAAACGAAACATAATGACTGTCGTTGCAAAAATCAAGGTTCCTGAGCTATTTTAAAAATCGAAGCGAGAGGCTTTTAACATTGCAGTATAAAATACAGGCTAAAATGGCTGAAACGTCAAATTTGAAAACTTCGTGTTGAAAATTGGCTAACAAGTCATTACAAAAAACAGGTTGCGGGGATGAAACTTGAAACTTGAATGTCCAAAGAATAAGCAAGTCCAAACCTTGTATGTGTAGTCGTTGAACTCTAGGTTCCCACGTAAAGTTAAAATGCCCCTATTTCAAGAAGAATAAACTCACGAAAACACGAAAAATTCACAAAATTCGCGTTCATTGTTTTGATTTTGACCGCCTGACAACTTTACGGAAATATCAGAGTGATTATAAACAAGGACTCTGTGACGGGCAACTTATAATATCCGTGTTTTAAAGATTTTAATGATATCAAGCCAGTCCAGTTCAAACTATTATCACGTGGTACAATTCTCATTTACATATTATGAATATTAGTTAGCAAAAGTCATACTAATTTCTGGCTATGCTGTGTTGCCCGACACTGCGCAAAGTTTTCGCGCGGAACCATGTAAATTCAAATTCCGTTCCTTACCTTGAAGAAGAAAAAACGAGACTACAGACACATTCATAGCGAACAAGTTGAGAAATATACACACCGTAAGAAGGGGACAAAGGAACATCTCCCGTTCAAAAAATGAAAATTATAACCGGGACCAAGGAATTGCAATTCCTTGCCGGGACTGACGAAAATATAGTCTCTGTTGTCGTAAATTTTTGTCTGGGACATAATATATTGTAAGTATAATAGTCCCAAATTTTTGTATAGAGTTTTCCGTGTGAGACTAAAATATCCAAATCTATAAATTAAGTTGAATTAATTTCCGCAGTAAAATTCTTATTTATTTAAAGTAAAAATATCATCAAGGTAACGGCAAGTGTTTTTAAAATCAACTAAATGAAATTAATAGACAGGTCTTTAATGAGTTTGACCATAAACTGTTATTCCTTATAAACAATATTCTGCTATTAGACGGTCCGAGTTGTCTTCGGGCCGTGTTGTCTTGCACCATCATTTTTACCTGGTACTCATAACTGTGGTACGAAACGAATAGCTTCCACTAATTTTTAAAAAGGTGTTAACAGTTAAGCACAACTGTTTTTTCTGAAAAAAATAAGACAAACAAAAATTAAATTCATTCTTTAAACAGCTTTAATTATATATTTCACATTCTAATGTAAGCAAATGGAGAACAAATTAACAAGACCCTATCCTGGTTCCCGGTACTACGTTCCAGGTATTAGCCGATAGCCATATTGGTATATGTGTAACGTACTGAATACACTGTATCTAAACTACCCCGGCGAAAAATGTTTGGACTCAATAGTATCTAATGTCCGGTACGGTGACGGACAATCAACAGACAGAGAAATCTAGAAATTCTGTTTATCTATATGTTGTTTTAATGATATTGAAGAATATACATACACATATAACTATTTTCGATAGTGTGATGTAATATTTTCTACCACCGTTCTAGATTTATGGAGAAATAAGTAAAAATGCACATCAAAATGGTGAATTGAGTGAACCCTGCCTCGAATTTGTTTAATTTCTCTTTAAATTGAGCACATTGTACGGAAAGAAAGGTACGGAAAGAAAGATATTAACACGGAGATTTCAAGACTTTTCACTATGATCGCCTCAATATTTGCATGTCTGTGCATGGAATGAAAGAAGTGGGTCATGTCAAAATTGAAGCACCCGGTTTTGTCAATGTGTACGACCCGGTTTTGTCCTTAAATTTCACAAAGCAGACCCGGTTTTGTCATAGAAAATAATGCATAATCGCATGACGAAAATTAAAATATGGCGTTCAACAGCAGTTTGAGGGATTGTTGAGTAACATTTTATTTCAGAGGATAACTTATAACCTTTTACAATCCATAAACACTTGAATTCCTGTTATATTAGAACAAAGGACATTTCAATTTTGTTTTGTATAAAAAAAAGGAAAAATTAAAAAGAAATGAAGGTTTTGAAACGGAATTAGATTTTTTTATATCATTTATGTAAATTTAAGTGTTCAAACTTAATTAGTGTACGGCCTTGAGAATTTAAGGACGCACATTTGATATGTGATTTTCTGGGACAACAAGATGGTTATCTTAGTGTTCCGCTCTACTTAAAGGGAAGACAGTATAATCGTTTGAAAATAAATATTCTGAAACTAAACGTTCTTTATAAAGCAAGAGAATGAGACAAATGTATGTGCATGCAGAATCGCCCAAGAAAAAAAATTTCCATGCGGCGCAAAGGATCACAATAATAGTGCGTTAAAAATCTGTTTGCCCCTCCTTGTTACAATAATACTAAGTATAAATTAGTATAAAAGTCTTAGGCCATCCGGAAATTGCAATAATGATTATTTGATTAGTAATTTTTATAAATAAACGATGTTTTATCTCTCTTTTTTTTTTTTTTTTTTAACATTAACAAATTCTTTAATGCACTAGTATCTAGTTGTTAACAACTGCCCTATATAGTACAACTATTATATATAGGTTTATCTCTTCATTGTATAATGATTATCGTACATTGACAAATGTTCTACAATTTAAGCAATTTGGTCAAGTTTAAAATTGTAAATATGCAAGGGCGGACCGAGGCCATGATTTTTGAAAGGGGCGTATTCATAAACGGATTTTAAACCGCTGAGCGTAGCAAGGGGAACTTTTTTTTAACGATTTTATGCTAAAAAAAAATCATATATAAATCGTAAAAAACATGATAAAGTAATTATTTCTAGCCACCAAAAAAGGGGGGGGGGGTCGGCGTACTCCCTCTACTCCCCTGGATCCGCCACTGATATAATGTAACTATATCGTATACCATCATAAAATTTAATAAAAGACGAAAAAACAGAGACAGCCACCAACCGCAAATTTACTATAGGGGCTCTGTAAAATATTGACAAGTATAATGCCTACCTATGTTAAAATGAGCGTAGAGCATGGCATGATAGAATTATTTTGTTTCTAATGGGGAAGTTTAGAACTTATGTATTTCGAAGCGGACATAAAATACACGTTCGAAAGGCAACCATTTTGATTGAGAAATCCAAAACGTTCTAATAGATATAAGAAGATGTGGTATGAGTGCCAATGAGACAACTCTCCATCCAAGTCACAATTTGTAAAAGTAAACCATTATAGGTCAAAGTACAGCCTTCAAAACGGAGCTTTTTCTCTCACTGTCCGTCAATGGATGAATGAATGAGTAAATATATTGTAAACATAGCGTATAGTGTAGTAAAGCATACTATCCTTACTCTTTTGATAAATTGATATGGTAACACAATCATACCACATCTTCTTATTTTTACATCATTACAGTAGTATAGAAAACAAACAAACATTTTTGAGATGTATTTCTATTTGTATCCATCTGAAGCCTTTTTCAACTGATTTTTATAGTTCGTTCTTATGTTGTACTGTTACACCAATTTCCTAAGTTAGGGGGAGGGTTGGGATCCCGCTAAGATATTTAACCCCGCCACATTCTGTATATATTTACCTGTCCCAAGCCAGGAGCCTGTATTTCAGTGGTTGTCGTTTGTTGCTGTGTTACATATTTGTTTTTCGTTCATTTTTTTGTACATAAATTATGCCGTTAGTTTCCTCGTTTGAATTGTTTTACACTTGTCATTTCGGGGCCTTTTATAGCTGACTATGTTGTATGAGCTTTGTTCATTGTTGAAGGCCGTACGGCGACCTATAGTTGTTAATTTCTGTGTCATTTGATCTCTTGTGACGAGCTGTCTCATTGGCAATCACACCACATCTTATTTTTTTATCATAAGGAATTAATGTAATTAATGATATAAAGTATTTATTTCCATTTAAACTTAGTTCGAAGATAAGATCAATAAGGTATACCTATAGCATTAAAAAATGTCTACTCCCTATTTCGAAAAGTTCCCGTTTGAAATATATTTTAACACTGTGTGACATCTTTGTATTGCAATAACATCTTTATAACATCTTTTTGACTCAAATATTTAATTTCTTCCGATTGGCAATGTACAGATCCGTGCTAACGTAGCTTTTCATAAATTTGTGGTTTCAAAACGAAACAAAACCGGGTCCTATACTGAGACAAAGCAGGGTCCTTGTGTAATAAACAACATTGACGAAACAGGGTCCTTCCATTTTGACATGACCCATTTCTTTCGTTCCATGCACAGAAATGCAAATATTGAGGTGCTTATAGTGACTAGCCATGCAATCTCTGTGTTACTATCTTTCTTTCCGTACTTTTCTTTCCGTACAATGTGCACAATTTAAAAAGAAATTAAACAAATTCGTAGCAAGGTTCACTCAATTCACCATTTTCATGTGCCTTTTTACTTTTTTCTCCATTAATCTAGAACGGTTGTAGAAAATATTATATCACACAATCGAAAATAGTTATATGTGTATGTTTATTCTTCAATTTCATTAAAAAACAAATAAATAAACAGAAATTCTACCTTTTCTCTGTCTGTTGATTGTCCGTCACCGTACCGGACATTAGATACTATCGAGTCCAAACATTTTTTGCCGGGGTAGTTTAGACACAGTGGAATATTACGATCGGGAACCAGTCTAACAAGACCCTATTCTGTAGTGTACTCCACGTCACAATCATGATCATTTTAGTGATTTAAAGAAGCTGTGAATTAATTCAACTGATAAGTTTAATTTCAACCATAACAAAACAATCTCGTAAAACGACAGATCACAAATTATCACAAAAGTACCCGAGTTCCGAGACACGAGAGTAATTTGGTAATTTCACTGTTGTACCTGAGTTCCAAGACGCGAGAGAAATCTGGTAATTTCACATGTTTACTGTTTTACCCTTTTTGACTACAAGTCTATACGGTAATGAGTATACGGTTATTACACCATTTTGGGGCCTCGGTGGCCAAATGGTCTAAGTAGTGCTACTACTGTAATCACTAGCCAGTCAACACTGAGGTTGTGAGTTCGAACCCAGCTCGTGCGGGTGCACTCGACTCCAATCTTAATTGACTAGGATTGTCAGTTTTCCTATCGAAGGTCGGTGGTTTTCTCCGGGCACTCCAGCTTCCTCCACCAATATAAACTGGCCTCCACGAAATAGCCCAAATGTGGCGCTTAAAAGTGGCGTTAAAACACCAACAATCAATCAATCAATATGACACTATTTTGGACTACAGTGGAGTCCCTGGTGTCCGCGCGGCCGGTGATATTGCGCATTAGCTGATTTCGTCATATCAACACAGTAACACAAATAAAATCGTTCTTGTTATTGTTTTAGCCTTCGGAAGGGATAAAAAAAGAATAAAATTGATAAGTTCAAGAGTTAATTAATTACTGCAATCCCGGGATTTACAATATTTGGCCAATTTCCATTAAAAAAATTACATCATCAGATTAAATTTGTTTTAATTTAGTCAAATTTAAATCAGATTGAAATATTTTTTGCTCTGCATCCTTGGCAGTGTGTTTGGTTTAAATTCAGCTATATTTCATTCGTATAAAATCTTTCCTTTATTGAAAAAAAGCTATTTTTGGAAGGCATGCGCGAAATCACCGGACATTGGAGGAACTCTCAGAACAGGGGTTTCCCTAATTTTTTCGACACACATTACACAAAACCTGAGGGTGAAACCATACAAACAGAAGATTTTATGAAATAAAAGTATGTTATGAATGTGTTCACACAATATTATCCAATTATTGGTTTTATCAGTTGAATGAAGTGAAGTCATAAGTCTTAAGTGCGCGGATACACTGGACTGCACCGTATATATAAATAGGTTGGGAATAACGAATGCTAGTCAATTCGTTCCAAGCCTATTCGTCCCATATTTGGTCAATTCGTCCAAAGTCAACAGTCAATTCGTTCCAACTGATTTTGTTCATTATTACTGGGACTTAATACTTTTTATACGACCGCAAAAAATTTTTGTGGTCGTATATTGGTATAACGTCGTCGTCGTCCGAAGACACATTAGTTTTCGCACTCTAACTTTAGTTTAAGTGAATGGATCTCAATGAAATTTAGCCATAAGGTTCAATACCACAAAAGGAAGGTGGGGATTGATTTTGGGGGTTATGGTACCAACAGTTAAGGAAAGAGGGGCCAAAAATAAGCATTTTTGTAACTTCCAGACTCGGACTTCTCTTGAACTGAATTTTAATGTGCGTATTGTTATGCGTTTACTTTTCTACATTGGCTAGAGGTATAGGGGGAGGGTTGAGATCTCATAAACATGTTTAACCCCGCAGCATTTTTGCGCCTGTCCCAAGTCAGGAGCCTCTAGCCTTTGTTAGTCTTGTATTATTTTTAATTTTAGTTTCTTGTGTACAATTTGGAGTTTAGTATGGCGTTCATTATCACTGAACTACTACTAGTATATATATTTGTTTAGGGGCCAGCTGAAGGACGCCTCCGGGTGCGGGAATTTCTCGCTACATTGAAGACCTGTTGGTGACCTTCTGCTGTTGTCTGTTCTATGGTCGGGTTGTTGTCTCTTTGACACATTCCCCATTTCCATTCTCAATTTTATAACTTGTGTGTAAGTGTATGGATCTCTCTGACATTGTACCACAAGGTTCCATATCACAAAGGGAATGCTGGGATTGATTTTGGGGGTAATTGCCTCCAAATTTTAGGAATTAGGGGCCAAAAAGGGGCAAAAAACAAGCATTTTTCTAGTTTCATGACAATAACTTGTGTGTAAGTGTATGGATCTCTCTGACATTATATCACAAGGTTCCATATCACAAAGGGAATGCTGGGATTGATTTTGGGGGTAATTGCCTCCAAATTTTAGGAATAATCCAATTAGGGGCCAAAAAGGGGCAAAAAACAAGCATTTTTCTAGTTTCATGACAATAACTTGTGTGTAAGTGTATGGATCTTTATGAAATTGTACTGCAAGGTTCCATATTACAAAGGGAAAGCTGGAATTGAGTTTGGGGGTAATTGCCCAAAAAGTTGAGGAATTAGGGGCCAAAAAGGGGCCAAAAATAAGCATTTTTGTCGAGCCTTCGACTTTTGTCGAAAAAGCGAGACATAGCGATCCTACATTCCGTCGGCGTCGTCGTCGTCGTCGGCGGCGTCCACAAATATTCACTCTGTGGTTAAAGTTTTTGAAATTTTAATAACTTTCTTAAACTATCCTGGATTTCTACCAAACTTGGACAGAAGCTTGTTTATGATCATAAGATTATATTCAAAAGTAAATTTTGTAAAAAAAAAATTCCATTTTTTCCATATTTTACTTATAAGTGGACTTAGTTTTTCTGCCAGGAAACATTACATTCACTCTGTGGTTAAAGTTTTTGAAATTTTAATAACTTTCTTAAACTATCCTGGATTTCTACCAAACTTGGACAGAAGCTTGATTATGATCATAAGATTATATTCAAAAGTAAATTTTGTAAAAAAAAAATTCCATTTTTTCCGTATTTTACTTATAAGTGGACTTAGTTTTTCTGCCAGGAAACATTACATTCACTCTGTGGTTAAAGTTTTTGAAATTTTAATAACTTTCTTAAACTATCCTGGATTTCTACCAAACTTGGAAAGAAGGTTGTTTATGATCATAAGATAGTATCCAGAAGTAAATTTTGTAAAAAAAAAATTCCATTTTTTCCGTATTTTACTTATAAATGGACTTAGTTTTTCTGCCAGTTAACATTACATTCACTCTGTGGATAAAGTTTTTAAAATTTTAACAACTTTCTTAAACTATCCTGGATTTGTACCACACTTGGACAGAAGCTTGTTTATGATCAAAAGCTAGTATCTAGAAGGAAATTTTGATAAAATTTTGTTCCATCTTTTCCATATTTTACTTATAAATGGACTTAGTTTTTCTTCCAGTCAACATTACATACATTCTTTAATTGAAGTCTGGAGCTGGCATGTCAGTAAACTGCTAGTAGTCTGTTGTTATTTATGTATTATTGTCATTTTGTTTATTTTCTTTGGTTACATCTTCTGACATCAGACTCGGACTTCTCTTGAACTGAATTTTAATGTGCGTATTGTTATGCGTTTACTTTTCTACATTGGCTAGAGGTATAGGGGGAGGGTTGAGATCTCATAAACATGTTTAACCCCGCCGCATTTTTGCGCCTGTCCCAAGTCAGGAGCCTCTAGCCTTTGTTAGTCTTGTATTATTTTTAATTTTAGTTTCTTGTGTACAATTTGGAGTTTAGTATGGCGTTCATTATCACTGAACTAGTATATATATTTGTTTAGGGGCCAGCTGAAGGACGCCTCCGGGTGCGGGAATTTCTCGCTGCATTGAAGACCTGTTGGTGGCCTTCTGCTGTTGTCTGTTCTGTGGTCGGGTTGTTGTCTCTTTGACACATTCCCCATTTCCATTCTCAATTTTATTCTGCAGTTTAAGTTTTTAAAACATTTATTAGATTCATAAATTATCCTGGATTTTTACCAAACTTGGACAGAAGCTACTTACAATCAAAAGATAGTATAGAGAGGAATATTTTTATTAATTTTTTTCCTCAATTTTGTTGAGCCTGCGATTAACACCAAAAGTAGGCGAGACACTGGGTTCCGCGGAACCCTTACGAATTTTTCTAGTTTCCAGACAATAACTTGTGTTCAAGTGTGTGGATCTCTCTGAAATTGTACTGCAAGGTACATGTACCATACCACAAAGGGAAGGCTGGGATTGATTTTGGGGGTAATTCTCTCAAAATTTTAGGAATTAGGCGCCATAAAAGGGCAAAAAAACAAGCATTTTTCTAGTTTCAGGACAATAACTTGTGTGTAAGTGTATGGATCTTTATGAAATTGTACTGCAAGGTTCCATATCACAAAGGGAAAGCTGGGTTTGAGTTTGGGGGTAATTGCCCTAAACGTTTAGGAATTTAGGGCCAAAAAGGGGCCAAAAAACAAGCATTTTTCTAGTTTCCAGACAATAACTTGTGTTCAAGTGTATGGATCTCTCTGAAATTGTACTGCAAGGTACCATACCACAAAGGGAAGGCTGGGATTGAGTTTGGGGGTGATGAATCATAAGGGGGTTCAAAAAATTTGGGGGGGGATTTTTTTTTTCATTTTTTTTCTTTAAACTTTTCCATTTTAAATTGGTTATTTCTGATTTATATATAAAAGCTAATAATAATGATATGGTTTGAATAGGTAAATTAAAAATTTTAAAGTTTTTAGACCACTTTCGTTCTGTGTCAGAAACCTATGCTGTGTCAAATATTTAATTACAATTCAAATTCAGTGCTGTATCAAGCTTGAATGTTGTGTCCATACTTGCCCCAACTGTTCAGGGTTTTCGACCTCTGCGGTCGTATCAAGCTGCGCCCCAGGGGAGCATTTTATTTTAATGTATACATGGTATTTGTCTCTGTATATAATAGTTTTTGTTATGTATAGATCAGTGTACATGGCTATTAAAGTAATTTTCCCTTAAAAGTACTTGCTATATATTTCATATAAAACTACATTTTTCATTTTCCAAAATTTTATATTGTGGAACACAAACAACCAGTGCTAATGAGTTAAGTTACGATGCACTTTAGAAAATACATAGTACACTTGGTATGGTTTCAATTATTATTTACAAGTTATTTTAATAGTTCATGTGGTTAAACACCGTTCTATTTAAAGTTGGAACGAATTAACCAAGCAACTTGGGACGAATTGGTTGGTACGAATCAGAGTTTGAAAGAATCATCCAGATACCGGAATAACACTAATAGGGATCTAATAGACCACTTTCGAGTTATGTCCTTCACCGGAAAAGTTCATCAATTATGCGCGCCATTATGACATCATTTACCAGATAGAGGGGA